AATGGAAAATTGAAAATTTCGCAAATTGAGAGCTCTAAATAAAAAATTTCAAAGTCGAAAAATCTAAAAATAGTCACATCGTAAAATTGGGGGAACGCAAAATTATGAATTCAAAAAAATTGGAAAATTCTCAGATTGAAAAATCCATATCGCAAATTTGAAGAAACAAAAAACTCGAAACATTAAATATCGCGAAGTTAAAAAAATGTAAAGAAGCAGGGAAAAATTGAAAAGTACAAAAACAGAAAAATTAAAGAAAAAGAATTAAAAAAAATCAAAAAAGTTGAAGAAATATAAAACTAAAAAATGGAAAAATTGAAAAACTAGCAAGATAAAAATAAAAAATTTTCAAATCGAAAAGGCCATATCGAAAATTTAAAAAACAAAAAAATAAAAAAATCGGAAAATTAAAAATGAAAAAAGTTGAAAATTTTCAAAATTTTCAAATTGAATGGTCAAAATATTAAAAAAATGTTGAAAGTCGAAAAATAGTCAAATCATAAAATTGAAGGAACGAAAAAATTAAAAATTAAAAACATTGGAAAATTGTCAAATTGAAAACTGGAAACATTGAATATCGAGAAATTAAAAATGTAAAAGAAACATTGAAAAATTGAAAAATCGAAACGTTGATTTCGTGAAAAATTCAAGACAAAACTGAAAAATGGAAAAATCGAAAAATTTGCAAGATGAAAAATCAAAAATTTTAAAAAATGAAAACTGAAAACTGGCAAATCAAAAATTGAAAAGTTAAAAATAAAAAAAAATGTCGAAAATTTTAAAAATTCGCAAGCTGAAAAATCAAAATATTCCAAATTTTTTTAAAGTCGAAAAATCGAAAAATAGTCAAACCGTAAAATTGAAGGAACGAAAAATTAAATTAATTAAAAAATGTAAAAGAAACATCGAAACATTGAAAAATCAAAACGCTGGATTCGTGAAAAATTGAAGACATACAAAACTGAAAAATGGAAACATTGAAAAAATTTGCAAGATGAAAAATCAAAAATTTTAAAATCAAATAATCGAAAAAGCCATATCGAACATTTAAAGAAACAAAAAAAATAGAGAAATTAAAGAAATTAAAATTTGAAAAAACTAAAAACTAAAAACTAGAGAACTGCAAATCAAAGATTGAAAAAACGAGTCTGAAAAATCGAAAAATTAAAAATGAAAAAAAGGTCGAAAATTTTCAAAATTCATTCGCAAATTGAATAGTCGAAATATTAAAAAAATTTTGAAAATCGAAAAATAGTCAAATCATAAAATTGAAGGAACGAAAAATTAGAAATTAAAAATATTGGAAAATTGTCAAATTGAAAACTGGAAACATTAAATATCCAGAAATTAAAAAATGTAAAAGAAACATCGAAAAATTGAAAAATCAAAACGTTGATTTCCTGAAAAATTGAAGAGAAAACTGAAAAATGGAAAAATCGAAAAATTCGCGAGATGAAAAATCAAAAATTTAAAAGATTGAAAACTGAAAACTAGCAGCTCAAAAATTGAAAAGTTAAAAATAAAAAAAATGTCGAAAATTTTAAAAATTGGCAAGCTGAAAAATCAAAATATTCAAAAAAATTTTTAAAGTCGAAAAATCGAAAAAAAGTCAAATCCTAAAATTGAAGGAACCAAAAATTAGAAATCAAAAACATTGGAACATTGTCAGATTGAAAAATGGAAAAATCGAAAAATTCGCAAGATGAAAAATCGAAAAATTTAAAAAATGAAAATTGAAAACTAGCAAATCAAAAATTGAAAAGTTAAAAATAAAAAAAATTAAATCGAAAAAGCCATATCGAAAATTTGAGGGAAAAAAAATCAAAGATCAAAGAATTAAAAAAACTAAAAGTTAAAAAATGAAAACTGAAAACTAGATAAATGCAAATCAAAAATTGAAGAAACGAAAGTCTGAAAAACCGAAAAGTTAAAAGTGATAAAAAAAGTCTAAAATTTGAATAATTCGCATGTTGAAAAATCAAAATATTAAAAAATTTGAAAGTAGGAAAATCGAAAAATGGTCATGGTAAAATTGAAGGAACGAAAAATTAGAAATTAAAAAAAATTATCAAATAGTTAAATTGAGAAATCGAAAAATAGCCATATCGCAAATTTGAAGAAACAAAAATTGATACAAGAAAAATCGAATAATTTAAAAGTTCAAAAATTGAAAAAGTACAAAAACTGAAGAAAATTTAAAATGGAAAGAAAAATCGAAAAATTGAAAAATTAAAAACTGAAATAATTGAAAAATTGAAGAAATACAAAACTAAAAGATGGAAAAATTGAAAAATTCATAAGATGGAAAATCAAAAACTTTAAAATCGAGAAATCGAAAGTCATCGAAAATTTCAAGAAAAAAAAATGAAAAATTTAAAAATTATAGAAAGAAATTAAAAAAATCGTAAAATTGAAACATCAAAAAGTTGAATTCGTGAAAAATTGAAGACATACATAACTGAAAAATAGAAAAATTGAAAAATTCGCAAGATGAAAAATCAAAAATTTTAAAATCAAAAAAAACCATATCGAAAATTTGAGGAAAAAATTCAAAAATCAAAAAATTTTAAAAACTAAAATTTGAAAAAATTAAAAAATGAAAACTGAAAACTAGAGAAATGCAAATGAGTAATTGAAAAAATAACAGTCTGAAAATCTGAAAAGTTAAAAATGAAAAAAAATGTCGAAAATTTGAAATTTTTCAGGTTGAAAAATCAAAATATTAAAGTAGGAAAATCGAAAAATGGCCAGAAGATAAAATTGAAGGAACGAAAAATTAAAAATTGGAAAAAAATGAAAATTATCAAATTGAAAAATCGAAAAATAGCCATGTCGCAAATTTGAAGAAATAAAAAAATCGAAACATTAAAAATCGAGAAATTAAAAAATGTGACAGCTAAATCGCAAAATTAAAAAGTGGAATACTTCAATAAATGAAAAATGGAAAAATTGAAAAATTCGTAAAATGAACAATTAAAAATTTAAAATCGGAAAATCGAAAAAGTCGTACCAAAAATTTGAGGAAACGAAAAAAACAGAAAAATCAAATATCTAGAGATTTTGTGAGAAATGTTCTGATAAACCACAAAACTTTTTTGATAACTACCCCCTTGATTATGGAAAAACGACTAAATATAATTTGTCTATTCATTCCCTTTAACAAATTCTTGACGTCATCGCAAAGTAGCACCCAATTAAATATTAACTTCCATGAGATTTTCTTAAATCTTCGAATTTTTAACATGTGATTAACTATAAAATTGCGACAAAATTTCCACCATTGTTTCAAATATTTATATAATTTACTTTTAAGCACAATTTTTTCAAATTTTGTCCAAGGTCTCGTCTTTACGTAACTAGAAAACGAGAATGAAATTTTTGTTTCAAAATTATTTTCTAAACTTTAAAGCGTGGTTCGTTCTTTATAAATATTTCTAAATTCAAAATCTTAACCAAAATTTTCATTTAGTATAATCGAGTTGCTTTCAAACTTTTTAATTTATAAAATTCTAAATTAATTCCCAGAATTTTAAAAAGTAAAGATTTTTTTTCAACATTCGAACTAAATTATTGTTCGATTTTTTTTGATTAATTTGATGTTTTTTATTTATAAACCCAATAAAGCTCAATCCGTTATGTTTTTATTCAATGTTAGCCGTTATCTAAATAAATGCTTGAGAGCGAGACAAACATATCAGTAAATATAGAAAATAATAATAGAAGTCCCAAAGTGGATCCTTGAGGAGAACCCCTACTGTCAACTTTAGCTATATCAGAGATTCTTGACATTAGTCAGACTTTACAAAACACATCTTCCGATCATTATTCAAGTAGCTTAAATCATCATAAAATTCATAAATCATCTGTTTATTGACATGACATTTTAAAAAACTTAGTTTAATATTATTAACGAAACAACAATGTATATTTATTTTTTGTATATATGTAATTTTGTGTTTTTTTTTCTTTTCATATACTTCGCTGGACCTCAAATACAACAGGCCGTAAGTATTTTTTTATTATTAATATTATTATTATTATTTTTTAGTTACAAATAAACGATCTTACTTATCTGTGCCAAAACTGTACATTTTGACTAAAACAACTATCTAATAATAACACAGGCCTGCGAAATATAACTTTTAATTTCCCTTTTAAATAATATTGTTTTTTTTTTAGATATTTATGTATGCCGAATTAAAATAAAGCTCTAGTTTTTTTGTAGCACATCGAGATTTATTTTTATGTAGGCCTAAATATTCATAGTTTTTCAAAGAATTTTTATGAAAAAATAAAATATAAAGAATATAAAATTGAATGTTTATTTATTAAATGAACTAAATTAGTTATAAACAAGACTTAAAAAAACAAATAAATCAAGAAGCTTCTTTTTTTCTTTCTTCAAAGCTCTGATTTAAGCGTTTTCTCTTGTATTCACGATAGGATATGTTATTGCTGTTACATTTTTCGCATTATATCATTTTATATTTGAACAGCAAAAGTAACAATCGTCTGTATGATTTTGTGGCTCCATCCAAATCATTGGTGTCAGCAAACTTATCTGAAGAATTAACCCATTTCCGAGAAGACATTAGTAATTTTTGTTTAAATTCAGGGTAGTAAGCGCATAGTCGACACAAAGGGTACTAAGCTGAACACGAAATGAAATATCAACACCATTATCCATACATATTATTACCACAAAATCTAGAAGTTAATTTTTATAGTACTAAGAACAAAACCGAAAAAAATATTTTTTGCAGAAACTGTACGTGATAGAAATTTTTGCAATTTTTTTTTATACATGAGTATCTAAGACCTACCGAAATTACTACTAGATTTTGTTGGGGGAAAACCATCGCAGGCCTGTGTAATTAGTCCTTTCAGAGTAGGCTCTGATTTGAAACCTCGTCGTCAAAAAACTAAAAGATCCAGAAGCCAAGTGCTCTAAATTACCAAAAATCTGGCACAATTAGCGCAATTTTTCTCCTCTCCCACAGCTTCACCATCCATCAAGTCCCACCGCGTCCGACCATCATCGCGGCCCAACCGAGCTCGTTTTACCCGTCGTTGCCTGCATAAAAATGCCGCGCCGTCCACACAAAGTGAAACATTTAAATATATCATTTTTGTTCTTTATCGCGCATTCTTGCGCCGGAGACATTGTCACGACAAGAACGATACGAGAAACATATTATGGCTTGTACCAAAATTATTACAAAGGCGCCAAACATCGGACTCCACATTAGCGTTCTGAAAATTTAATTTACATCATCAGGGCAGCGCCGAAACGTCGGCCGAGTGCGTCCTCGTCGGCGCCCGCGCGCCGGAAAAGGACGCGAGATCGGGCGTGAGGCGTACGTGGGCCGGACTGAATTGAAATTGTCATCATGTGGAGATCTGATAAGGAGAAGCTTTTAGGGGAGTTGGCGATCCACGGGGGGGCAAACACGCGGCGGGGTGCCCTAAAACAAACAGCGTGTCACCGGCGTTATGAGGCTCGGTAAAGGATTTCCTACTGGGTAGCCACTTTTGTTTTTTTAGCGAGGGTTTTATACGATGGGGGTTTTAAGTAAGAGCCTAATTGATAATGACGCGATTTGGAGGTTTTTCTAGTTTCGGTAAAAATGTTTGCGCGGTTTGAGGACTGAAATATGCGAGTTGGTCAACGGAGTTTGAGGTCACTGTATCTGGGAGAACAATTGAGTTGGATTGATTCCTGCCGTTATAGGAATTTCAAATTACAATTAATGTCATAATCATAAATATTACAAGAGTTTTTAGTTTTGACAAGAAGGCACTTTTAATTTTTATCCTTGGGGTGGTTTTGTACAGCTCAAATTTTGATATTGGTAGGTTCTTGCATTTCTGGATTTTTTTTGTTTAACGTAACTGAAAATTAGTAAATAATAATTTTCAGAATTTCCGAAAAATAGGTAAAAAAGAAAGCAAATTTACCTCATTCCGTATTTTTAAGTAATCTATGAAGATAGTTTTAACTGTTTTACGCGTAAAACACATTTCTGTTTAATACGAGAGATGCATTTTTTGTAATAATAAAATTTTATCCTTGTAGTGACATTTTAGCCAAAATGCTCGAACAGCCTCCCTAGTGAAGATCCTCGACAATCAGTGATGTCGGTTTGAAATTTACTCAAATTTCGGAGTTGTATTTAGGAAAGAAATTGTTATTTGAAGAATTACTTATGATTCTTATTATGAAGTGATTTTTTTCTGTAGAACTTCAAAAAATTGACAAAAAATGAAAAATATTACCCAAAAATTAAAACGGGCTACATTTAATGGATGAAAGTGCTGCTGATTTAGAAGGTATCTTCCGTTGATTACGAATTTCAAATAATTTTTGCTACAAGTTATCAAATAGAAAACTACGGATTTTTTTTTCCAAAAATTTATTTCCATAATAATTTTCCAAAATATTTTTCAAAAATTCGATCACATTCGATGGACTGAAATGTTTGCTGATAAAGTATTCTTGATACCCCTGATTATACAAGTAATTTTTTTACGGGTCTTCAAATAAACAAGAAAACTGGAAAAAATATTTCAAAAATTTTCCAAAGAATGTCGAATCTTGTATATTGAAATAATTGAAAAAAAATGAAAGCACTTTCCAAAAATTTTCCAAAAAAGTGTTAAAACAAAAAAAGGTTGTATAGAGTTGCTTGTAGATTACGAACCGGCAGTCACTTTTTATTGACAAAAATTGAAAATACTTTCCAAAAATTTTCCAAAAAAGGCAATCTCTAAATATTCTAATGAAGAAGAAATCAAATTCGTACAAAATTTTTCGTGAATTACGTATCTGGAGTCATTTTTGCTTTGGAATCCTTGTACATAGAGAAGGAAAACTAGAAAAATTATTTCCAAAAATTTTCCAGAGACCATCGGTTGTTAAAATTTGCTGTGCTCCAATGGAATCAAGGATAAGATTGTATTTAATTTCTTGTAAATTGTGAATCATTTGTGTTGCCCACCTCCAGACAGCCGAAAAAAATTAAAAATATTTTCCAAAAATTTTCCAAAAAACGTTAGAATGATGTTTATTCGAATGGGAAAAAACAATATTATCCAAAAATTTCTCGTAGATTACCAATTTGAAGTGATTTTTTTTCCGTATGTATTCAAATAACTGCGAAAAAGTTGAAAACACTTTTCAAAAATTTTCGAAAAAAGTGCTAAAACGGGTTTTATTTCAATTAATAAAAAGACAAGTATGTAGAAAGTTGCTAGTAGATTATGAAACGACAGTTACTTTTATAACAGGTTTTTAAATAACTGAGAAAAATCGAAAACAGTTTCCAAAAATTTTCCAAAAAAGCAATTTCCATTCGAATGAAGAAGAAACCAAATTCATACAACATTTTTCGTGAATTACGTATCTGAATTATTTTTGCTTTCGAATTATTTCTTGCACATAGAGAAGGAAAACTAGAAAAGGTATTTCCAAAATTTTTCCAGAAACGATTGGTTAAAATTTGCTGTGCTCCAATGGAATCGAGGACAAGATTGTATTAATTTTCCCGTAAATTGTGAACTTGAAGTCATTTTTGATGCCCACACCCAAACAGCCGAAAAAAATTAAAAATATTTTCCAAAAATTTTCCAAAAAACGTTAGAATGATCTTCATTCGAATGGAAAAAAAACAAGCTTATCCAGAATTTCTCATAGATTACGAATTTGAAGTGATTTTTTCCGTACGGATTCAAATAACTGCGAAAAAGTTGAAAACACTTTCCAAAAATTTTCCAAAAAAGTATTAAATCAGGTTTTATTCCAATGAATAAGAGGAAATATCTATAGAGAGTTGATACCAGATTACGAACCGGCAGTTCCTTGTATAACAGGTGTTCAAATAACTGACAAAAATCAAAAATAGTTTCCAAAAATTTTCAAAAAAAAACAATTCAGTATTTTAATGAAAAGAAAAACAAATTCATACAAAATTTTTCGTGGATTACGCATATGGAGTCATTTTTGCTTCATAATTCTTGCACCGAAAGAAGAAAAACTGGAAAAAGTTTTTCCAAAAATTTTCCAGAAACCATTGGTTTAAATTCGCTGTGCTCCAGTGGAATAAAGAACAATGTTATATTTAATTTCTCGGAAATTATGGACCTGAAGTCATTTTTGCTGCGAACCTCGAAAAAGCCGAAAAAGATTAGAAATATTTTCCAAAAATGTTCCAAAAAACGTTAGAATGATCTTTATTCGAATGGAAAAAAAACAAACTTCTCCAGAATTTCTCGTAAATTACGAATTTGAAGTGATTTTTTCCTTACGTTTTCAAATAACTACGAAAAAGTTGAAAACACTTTCCAAAAAAGTATTAAATCAGGTTTTATTCCAATGAATAAGAGGAAATATCTATGGAGAGTTGATACCAGATTACGAACCGGCAGTTCCTTGTATAACAGGTGTTCAAATAACTGACAAAAATCAAAAATAGTTTCCAAAAATTTTCAAAAAAAAAACAATTCAGTATTTTAATGAAAAAAAAAAACTAATTCATACAACATTTTTCGTGGATTACGCATCTGGAGTCATTTTTGCTTCATAATTCTTGCACGGAAAGAAGGAAAACTGGGAAAAGTTTTTCCAAAAATTTTCCAGAAACCATTGGTTTAAACTCGCTGTGCTCCAGTAGAATAAAGGACAATGTTATATTTAATTTCTCGGAAATTATGGACCTGAAGTCATTTTTGCTGCGAACCTCGAAAAAGCCGAAAAAAATTAGAAATATTTTCCAAAAATGTTCCAAAAAACGTTAGAATGATCTTTATTCGAATGGAAAAAAAAACAAACTTATCCAGAATTTCTCGTAAATTACGAATTTGAAGTGATTTTTTCCTTACGTTTTCAAATAACTACGAAAAAGTTGAAAACACTTTCCAAAAATTTTCCAAAAAAGTATTAAATCAGGTTTTATTCCAATGAATAAGAGGAAATATCTATGGAGAGTTGATACCAGATTACGAACCGGCAGTTCCTTGTATAACAGGTGTTCAAATAACTGACAAAAATCAAAAATAGTTTCCAAAAATTTTCAAAAAAAAAAAAAACAATTCAGTATTTTAATGAAAAAAAAAACTAATTCATACAACATTTTTCGTGGATTACGCATCTGGAGTCATTTTTGCTTCATAATTCTTGCACGGAAAGAAGGAAAACTGGGAAAAGTTTTTCCAAAAATTTTCCAGAAACCATTGGTTTAAACTCGCTGTGCTCCAGTAGAATAAAGGACAATGTTATATTTAATTTCTCGGAAATTATGGACCTGAAGTCATTTTTGCTGCGAACCTCGAAAAAGCCGAAAAAAATTAGAAATATTTTCCAAAAAACGTTAGAATTATCATTATTCGAATGGGAAAAAACAAGCTTATTCAGAATTTCTCGTAGATTACGAATTTGAAATGATTTTTTTTTCCGTAGGTATTCAAATAAGTGCGAAAACGTTGAAAACACTTCAAAAATTTTCTAAAAAAGTGCTAAAACAGGTTTTACTCCAATGAATAAATGGACAAGTCTGTAGAGAGTTGCTAGTAGATTACGAACCGGCAGTTACTTTCATAGCGGGTGTACAAATAATTGACAAAAATCAAAATAATTTTGAAAAATTTTCCAAAAAAAAAACAATCCAAGTATTCTCATGAAGAAGAGACCAAATTCATACAAAATTTTCCGTGAATCACACATCTAGAATCGTTTTTGCCTTAGAATTCTTACACATAGAAAAGGAAAATTAGAAAAAGTATTTCCAAAATTTTTCCAGAAACTATTGGTCTAAAATTCGCTGTGCTCCATTGGAATAAAGACAATTTTGTATATAATTTCTCGTAAATTGTGAACTTGAAGTCAAAAGCTGCGCACCTCGATACAGCCGAAAAAAATTAAAAATATTTTCCAAAAATTTTAAAATGATCCTTATTCGAATGGGCAAAAAACAAGTTTATACAAAAATTTTCGTAGATTACACATCTGGAGTCATTTTTGCTAAAACTCTTACACATAAAGAAGGAACACTTTCAAAAAATTTTCCAAAAACCATTTATGTGACACTTTGCTCTGTTTCTAGAACAACAGACAAAATTTTTGTTGTATATAATTTCTTGAAAATTACGAACTTGAAATCATTTTTGTTGCCCGTGTCCAAAGAGCCAAAAACATGAAAAATATTTTCCAAAAATTCTGCAAAAAAAAAACGTTAAAACGACCTTTATTCGAGTAGAGAAGAAAAGAAATGTATACAAAAATTTTTGTAAATTATGCATCTGGACTTATTTTTGCTCTAGAACTCTGGCGCATAGAAGAAGAAAGCTAGGAAAAGATTTTTAAAAAAATTTCCAGAAACCATATGTTAAAATTAGCTGTATTTCAATGGAATAAAATACAAGCGTCTATCCGATTTCTCGCAATTTACGAATCTAAAATCATTTTTCAGTACATCTCAAAACCACTGAGAAAAAATGAAAAATATTTTCCGAAAATTTTCCAAAAAGTATCAAAGCAGTTTTTAGCCCAATGAATAAAAGAGCAAGTCGGTAGAGAGTTGCTAGTAGATTACGAACCGGTAGTTACTTTTATAGCAGGTGAACAAATAATTGACAAAACTCAAAAATAAGCTGAATTCATACAAAATTTTATCGTGGATACGCATCAGGAATCATTTTGGTTTAGAATTCTTGCATATAGAGAAGGAATACTAGGAAAGAATATTTCAAAAAATTTCCAAAAATATGTCGAAACGGACCGTATTTTAGTGGAAAATGGAAAATTTTGTATAGAATTTCTTGTATATTATGAATCTGAAGCTGATTTTGCCGTACGTTTTCAAATAATTGGAAAAAAAATGAAAATGTTCCCAAAATGTTCTCCAAAAATGTTAAAATTTCAAATAACGGTCGAAAAGTTGAAAACTCTCCAAAAATTTTCCAAAAAAAAAGTTAAAATAGTTTTTATTCCAATGAATAAAAGGACAGTGTAGAGAGTTGCTGACAAAAATCGAAAATAGTTTAAAAAAATTTTCCAAAAAGAAGCACTCTATTCGAATAAAAAAGAAACCAAATTCATTCAAAATTTATCGTAGATTACGCATCTGAACTCATTTTTGCTAAAACTCTTGCATATGAAGACAAAAGCACCAAAAATTATGAACTTGAAATCATTTTGACTGCTCACCTCCAAACAGCTGAGGAAAAAAAAATTTTCGAAAAATTTTACAAAAAACGTTAAAGTGACCTTAATTCGAATGAAAAACAAAACAAATCTATACAAAATTTTTGGTAAAGTATAAGTATATGGAGTCATTTTTGGTCCAGAACTCTTGCGCACAGAGAATGAAAACTAGGTTTTTCCAAAAATTTTCCAGAAACCATGTTAAAACTAGCTGTGTTTCAATGTAATAAAAGTTAAGCTTGTCCTAAATTAGGAATCCGAAATCACTTGCTGCACGTCTCCAAACAGCTGAAAGATGTTGAAAAATATTTTCCAAAAATTTTCCAAACACACGTTAAAACGACCTCTATTCGAATGGAAATGAAAATGAAAATAAATTTCAAAAATTTTCCAAAAAACGTTAAAACGATTTCTATTCAAATGAGACATGAAAAGAAGTTTATACAAAACTTCAAGGTAGATGACGCATCTAGACTAATTTTTGCTAAGAACTCGTGTACATAGAGAAAGAAAACTAGGAAAAATGTTTCCAAGAAGTTTCCAAAAACCACAATATGCTTCGGTTTTAAATATTTTCGTCCATCTAACTTTTCAACTTTGTCAAATCGCTCCATGAATAAAAGCACCAAAAACAGTGGTCTGTATATTTCGAAAACTATATTGCTTTCACGAACCAAACTTGCTTCTCAGAACCCGCGCCCGCCAAACTTCGCCCAAACCCGCCATTAATTACCGACTTTTTTTCCGTCTATCTAATTGGAAGTTATTAAACTGCCTAAACTATCTCCCATCATCCTCTCGTTTCTTAAGTATCGTGCGAGCGGGCAGGTGGTGTCGTGACGGCCGGTGGTATGACGTGGGGGCCCAGGTGAGTCGAGGTGACAGGCAGCGGCCCGGTCGCGATTCATATGTGCCCTACTAATTGAACAAAACGGCCAAGAACGACCAAACCGGTCACCGGCTCTTCCCTATCTGGGGATCTGAAGAACGCGCGATACTAATTGCCGCCGGCCGCGCAGCTGAGCCAGTTAATATGTTATCATCATCATTATGCAAATGCTCTCGGAGCACCCGTCCACCACGAGACTCCACAGTAGCGGCCTTCAGGCACCCTCGAAGAGGTGGTTAGACGCGAAGGCGATCTTCCCAGATTAACCAGACCGCGAAGAACGGTGCACGTCTTCATTGGCGAGCGAACGGGAAAAACGGCTTCGAGTGTGGCGTGATTCGGGGCGATCGTTTCTAACGAAATTATAGCGGGATTATTAGGTGAAGATTTAAATTTTATGAGAGGATATAGCGCGACTGGTGTTTATTTTAAGTAAAGTGGGGCAGGAATTCGATCGTGTTGATGGAATTGCTTTTCTAGAAACGAAAAAGTCAGACGATTAGGTCGTTGGCGTATAACGAGAAAAGCACTTGGCCGAGGTGGAACCCTTGCAGCACACCAAATACTAATCTTAGATCTTAACTCACGATTTATTTGTCTAGATTATTATTATTATTATTATTACTATTATTATTAATTTATGTATTTATTTTCCATGTATTTGCCTCCTTGAACCCGACTTTCACTTGGATTCTTCAGTATGTAAGTATTTCTTTACCATAGACACAGCATCAACCCAAACTGTGACCATTTACCAAGCCCACAACCCAGTATTGCCCCCACTACGCCCAAATCACCTGCCACCTCTTCCCCAATTACCCACTAAACACACACACCCAAACCCCCAAATTAAAACCCATCCATCGCCTCAATCCCATCAATTTCGTTCGATTCCGACACGATTTGCGCGTCGGTGGTTCAATAATAAGTGGGTACATCCAAACTGTCCAATTATCAATTCAAATTAGTTTGGCCGGTCTTATCCGGCGGTCAATCGCATGAACATCCGCACTCCATGACAAATTCAGGTGTCAATTCGTCGTTCCTCGTCCCACAGAGGAAGTCGAGCCGAGTTTTTTCCTTATCGGGCCGATGGAGTTATGGGTGTCTTCTCGTGTTGTGGCCCTTATCAGATACGAGACATATCTGCAATCATGTAGCTCACATATTTGGGATTGTTGGTCGTTTTTGAATGGTCGCCGCGTTGGGTTGTTTTGTTTGTTTGGTTTTTGTTTCGCAATTGATGGGTTGTTATTGGTGGTTTGCAGACGGTGCTGCACTGGGGCGCCAAACATGGAAATCCGCAGATCATTCAGATGTTCGCTGGGAAGTACAAGGTGGATGTCAACGGGAAAACGGTAAGATTTGTGTTGGGTTTGGGTTTGAAGGTTTTATTTTGTTTAACGTTGCCAAAACTGACTACTGTGCCAAAAAATTATAAACTATACTGTTCCAAATATACAGACCGCTGTTTTTGACGCCGTTTGTGCGATTTGTCGCATAATTATTATTAAATCTGTTTTGACAATTAGATTAATCTGTATTCATTTTTTTTCCTCTGTATATGTTTTTTTTTTAATTTAGGAAACCAAAATTACTAAGAAAATTGTAAAAAAATCGACATTAAAATTGAAAGAAAAAGTTTTCAGAGTTTTTTGTATCTTCTTGAAATGAACTAAGTATGTGTTCAATAATATTGCTTGAAAATAAGGAAGAACTTTAGAAATTGTTCTGAAATAAATGGCTCTAGTTTTACAACAGATTTTTTTTTTTTTTGTAAAAAAAAATGAAGGGATAGAAAATCATTATTTTTTGGAATTTTAACTTTCCGACTGTAAGATAAGGAAGAATTGTAATAGGGTCCATCCGGCGAAAGGCTACTTTCATGTTTTATCCACGATTAGTGATCACTAGAGTATGAAAAATAGGTCTTCCGTTTCCTTCTGTCTATCGTCTGGCTATCTGGTTGATTGGTTGTATGTATATTATAGTTGAAATATCATGTAAGTAGTAAAACGCTAACCAAAATTTGTCTAGTCATCCCTACGAACAATTTGATGACATCTCCTCATCGTTTTGGTAGTAAAGTTTATTTGAATCTTATAAAATAATATACTCTTGTACTTGTGGTTTATGAATCCGCCTTAGTTTTTATCACAATTTGTTGTGTGTTTTTTTGAATTTTCTTTTATAAGAAAAATTAGGAAAATATGCCACTATCAATGGAGCTGGCAGCTGTTCAAAATTACTGCTTTTTGAAAACTTAAAAAAAAAAAGTAAATTCGACAAAGTGCGCCGAAAATAAAACCTGTTCTAGTAAAACCGTAAAACTAATAATGACATTATTAAAAACTGCAGAATTATAAAAGTCAAGAACTACAAATTTGTCAATTTTGAAATTTCTTATGTTTGACTCAAAAAACATGAACACTAGCAATATTTTAGAAATATTTGCTAGAAAATTTTGACTTTTAAACTTAGCAAAAATTCACAAGACTAAGGAAATTTGTAGTTCAAAATGACTGTTTTGAGAATTAAAAAAAATCGTAAAACCACAACGCAAGTCACAATTTAATTATGATTTAGTAGAATTTTTATGTGTGCTCTGAATGTCATGTTCATGTAGATGGTAAAACGCTAACCAAAATTTGTCTAATCATCCCTACCAACAATTTGATGACGTCGTCTCATCGTTTTGGTAGTAAAGGTTATCTAAAGTTCATATAATAATATACTCCTATACACGTGGTTTATGAATTCGCCTTGATTTTTATTACAATGTTTGTGCTTTGCCGTCCGTGTTGGTTTTCTTAAACAAATTACTTTGAAAAAGTATTGCTGAGCTCTTTGTTTCAATTTTGTTTTCTAACAAAAGCTCTTAAAAAATTATGAAAATGTGCCATGTGTCAAAATTACTGTTTTGAAAACTTAAAAAAAATTGTAAAATTCGACAAAGAAAATAGAAAGCAAAAACTTGTTTTAAAAAAACTATAAAACGAATAGTGACATTATTAAAAATTGCAAACTTGAAAAACCCAAGACCAAAAATTTGAAAATTTTGAAACTCCTTATGAAATATTTACCGGAAAATTTTGACTTTTAAAATTAGCAAAGAATCAAAAGAATAACACAGTTATTTATTTCCAAAAATTTTAAGCATCATATAATATTCCGAAATTCTGTACAGTTTCAGCATGGATTTTTTTTTTTTTAATTTTAAAATGAAAGTGTCTTACAAGAATTCTTTAAAAAGTATGGAAATGTGCTAGAATTATCGCAAAATTTTAGAGTGCACAATTACAGTTTTGAAAACTCCAAAAAAAATTGTAAAATTCCACAACGAAAGTCACAAGTTTTTACCCGAAAAGTCCAGATTTTTGGAAAAAAGTCAAAATTATTCCAATTTAATTTTGAATCTGCCAAACTGAATGCTTTGAAATCTTGCAGATGTTTTCAATTTATGGTAAGCATAATAATTTTTTCATCAAAATATATTCGCTTATCCTTCCAAAAAATTGATGATGTCATCCAAAAATTTTGCCGGATAAATATTATCTAAAATATGCAAAGTATGATCGGTCTATGATTTATCACTGCATTCATATTTTCTAGATTTGCTTAAACAGGGTGATTCAAAAAAATTAGTGACTAAATTGTTAAAAAATAAACATCGAATTAAATTTAGGAATTTAACTCGTTACAATGGAAATTTGCAATTTAACACTTTTTAAATTTAACAAGTTTAAAGAGACAAAATCAATCTTACCTTAGCAAGTGCTAGCCCCGCCCACCCACCCCTATTTTCTCAGAGGATATGTCATTTGCCAAAATCAGTTTTATCTGAGCAAGTACTAACCCCGCCCGCCCACCCCTGTTTTCTCAGAGGATATGTCATTTGCCAAAATAAGACTTATCTTAGCAAGTACCAGCAAGTACTACCCTCTGGGAAAATAAAAGGTGGGTGGGCGGGGACGAGCACTTGCTAAGATAAGACTGATTTTACCCCTATTAAACTTGTAAAAACTTTTCAATTTTGCAATTTTTGGACTTCTTTATTTTCCGATTTTCCGATTTCTCTAATTTTCAAGATTTCGATTTTACAGTATTTCGTTTTTTCGATTTTGCACGTTATCAATTTTTAAGTTTCTCAATTTTTAATCTCTCGACTTTGCAAGTTCTTGATTTCCAATTTTTTTTAGATTTTTCGAAGGTTTGACTTTATACCATTTCGTTTTTTTATTTTTGGCTTTTTGATTTTACAATTTTGCAAGTTTTACATTTTTTGTTACGGATCTTCAAATAGAAAACTGGAAAAAATATTTCAAAAAGTTTCCAAAAATATGTCAAAACAGGTTGTATTCCAGTGGAAAATGGAAAAGTTTGTATAGGATTTCTGGTATATTATGACACTGAAGCTGATTTTGTTGCACGTTTTCGAATAATTGAAAAAAAAATTAAAATATGTACACGAAATTTTCTCAAAAAATGTTAAAATTTCAAATAACTGCCTAAAAGTTGAAAACTCTTTCCAAAAATTTTCCAAAAAAGTATTAAAACAGGTTTTATTCCAATGAATAAAATGACAAGTCTGTAGAGAGTTGCTAGTAGATTACGAACTGGCAGTTATTTTTTTGTAGCAGGTGTTCAAAAAACTGACAAAAATCAAAAATAGTTTCCAAAAATTTTCGAAAAAAGCAGTCTATTCGAGTAAAAAAGAAACCAGATTTATTCAAAATGTTTCCTATTAAACTTATAAAAACTTTTCAATTTTGTAATTTTTGGACTTCTTATTTTCCGATTTTCCGATTTCTCTAATTTTCAAAATTTCTATTTTACAATATTTCGTTTTTTCGATTTTCCACGTTATCAATTTTTAAGTTTCTCAATTTTTAACTTTCGATTTTGCAAGTTCTTGATTTCCAATTTTTTTTAGATTTTTCGAAGTTTTGATTTTATACCATTTCGTTTTTTTATTTTTGGCTTTTTAATTTTACAATTTTGCAAGTTTTACATTTTTTGTTACAGATCTTCAAATAGAAAACTGGAAAAAATATTTCAAAAAGTTTCCAGAAATATGCCAAAACAAGCTGTATTCCAGTGGAAAATGGAAAAGTTTGTATTGGATTTCTTGTATGTTATGACTCTGAAGCTGATTTTGTTGCACGTTTTCAAATAATTGAAAAACAAATTAAAATATGTACCCAAAATTTTCTCAAAATATGTTAAAATTTCAAATAACTGCCGAAAAGTTGAAAACTCTTTCCAAAAATTTTCCAAAAAACTATTTAAAACAGGTTTTATTCCAATGAATAAAAGGACAAGTCTGTAGAGAGTTACTAGTAGATTACGAACTGGCAGTTATTTTTTTATAGCAGGTGTTCAAAAAACTGACAAAAATCAAAAATAGTTTCCAAAAATTTTCGAAAAAAGCACTCTATTCAAAAAAAAAGAAACCAGATTTATTCAAAAATTTTCCTATTAAACTTATAAAAACTTTTCAATTTTGTAATTTTTGGACTTCTTTATTTTCCGATTTTCCGATTTCTCTAATTTTCAAGATTTCGATTTTACAATATTTCGTTTTTTCGATTTTGCACGTTATCGATTTTTAAGTTTCTCAATTTTAATCTTTCGATTTTGCAAGTTCTTGATTTTTTATTTTTGGCTTTTTAATTTTACAATTTTGCAAATTTTACATTTTTTGTTACGGATCTTCAAATAGAAAACTGGAAAAAATATTTCAAAAAGTTTCCAAAAATATGTCAAAACAGGCTGTATTCCAGTGAAAAATGGAAAAGTTTGTATACGATTTCTTGTATATTATGACTCTGAAGCTGATTTTGTTGCACGTTTTCAAATAATTGAAAAAAAAATTAAAATATGTACCCAAAATTTTCTCAAAAAATGTTAAAATTTCAAGTAACTGCCGAAAAGTTAAAAACTCTTTCCAAAAATTTTCCAAAAAAGTATTAAAACAGGTTTTATTCCAATGAATAAAAGGACAAGTCTGTAGAGAGTTGCTAGTAGATTACGAACTGGTAGTTATTTTTTTATAGCAGGTGTTCAAAAAACTGACAAAAATCAAAAATAGTTTCCAAAAATTTTCGAAAAAAGCAGTCTATTCGAAAAAAAAGAAACCAGATTTATTCAAAATTTTTCCTATTATACTTGTAAAAACTTTTCAATTTTGCAATTTTTGGACTTCTTTTTTTTCCGATTTTCCGATTTCTCTAATTTTCAAGATTTCGATTTTACAATATTTCGTTTTTTCTATTTTGCACGTTATCAATTTTTAAGTTTCTCAATCTTTAATCTTTCGATTTTGCAAGTTCTTGATTTCCAATTTTTTTGTAGATTTTTCGAAGTTTTCATTTTATACCATTTCGTTTTTTTATTTTTTGATTTGAAAACTTGAGAAATCGAAAAACTAAAAAAAAGTAAATGTCAAAATCGAAAAATTACAATTCGAAAAACTAAGAAATTGCAAAAAATTGAAAAATCGTAAAACTGAAAAAAACGAGAAATTGCAAATCGAAGAACTGAAGAAACGAAAAATTTGAATTTAAATCCAAAAATTCTTTCCAAACGAATCGAATGGAAAAATTGGAAAGGCTAAAAATTATAAAATTGAAAAATTATGGAATCGTCAAAATTGTAAAGTCGAAAAACTGTAACCTTGAAAGATCAAAATATCGAGAATTTCCAAAATTAGAAATCGAATAAGTGAAAAAGTAAAAAAAAAATTCATTATTACATATTTAAAGTGAAAACTAAAAAAATTGAAAACCAAAAAAATTTTAAACTGAGAAGTCGAAAAATCGAAAGATCAAGAAATCGAAAATAAAAAAACTGATGTAAACGGGAGACCTACTTTTTCATATTTTAGATTGTATGAGCTGGGTGAACCGTGGCTATGACGGCTGTTTTAATGTTAATTATTTAATTTGTACTTTTCGGATTCCTCGAATTAAAAAAAAATAAAATTCAAGAATTTGAAATAATGAAAAATAAGTTTCCGAGCTTTCAAAGTTTAGTTGATGACTTCTAAAAATTAGAAATTTTGTAAAAGCATAATCGTGTAAAATGTTGACAAGCCAGTGAAATCAGTAGTCGAAAAATGGAACCAAAAATACCGAAAATTTTTAACAGAGTTCAAATTTATTCAGACTTCTAGAACATATGGATAGTCTTTGAAAAAATCTAAAACGATGTCTGTCTTAGCGACACGCTGACGTCAGAATACAAGTTTTGCGAATGCCCAACATCGCCTACGCAACTTTCTCCCACAAAATTTCCACCCAGATTAATAACCCTCATTAAAATTTCAACGTCTTTCTGCCCGTCATAACATTATTATTAACGGCTTGTACCTCCAATAAATGTAAATCATCCCAATAAAATATTTGTACATACGTAGAAGTGTTGCTCCTAATTAATTAAAACCCAGCACTACTTAAAGTGTCAGAAGAGATCACCATTCTGCATTAATTTTTCTAGATTTTTATTAAAACTTAATTTACATAAGATAAATTATTAATGAATCAGTGAAATGATGAACGAGCAGCTCGAAAAAAGTGACACGTGTATGTAAATGCATGTTGTGGAACAAATTCGAACACCGTGATAGATTCGAGAAAGTCGCAAATGTCAGCCGTTTGCCATTTTCGGGCCAGTTTTTCGCTAATTGTCACAAGGTCGCGTTTTGGCAACGCCGAATCTCTACGAATTTCGCTAACTTGTCCGTTTTTTTGTTTCCGGTTTCTCGTCGACGCTAGAACGGGGTAAGTTTTTACTTTTTTCTTGTTTAGTATGTTTCCTCATGCAACTGTGGAATGCCGCGCCCTTAAAAATTCACGCACGATACGGTTTCGGGGATGTTTATTTTTATATTCCGCTCGCGTTCGAAGCCCGGTAGCCATTTTTTGATATGGCGACTGGTGGCGACGCATGCCGGGCATTCCACGGGCTCGATGTGATGTCACATCTTAGATTAAGTTTAATATACAAGAGATAACAGCTTGTTTATGACATTTACATTTGTATAGTCCTACGTAGCCGACTTATTAATGTCGACTTCACAACCCCCGCGGAACATTTTAACAAGCTGTTTGTTATGGAATTTTATTTTATTTGGAGGAAGCACGGCATTCGGGGTTGAAAAATTGAGATTTGTTGATGATGGGGTGTTTCAGGGGTACACGCCGCTTCATCTGGCAGCGCAGTTCGGACATAGGAAGGTGTATGAAATGCTCATCAATGATTATAGTAAGTGATTTTTGATTTATTAAAATGGTTTATGTACAAAAAACGAAAAAAAAATTGTTTTTGCTTTTATTGTCTTGTCAATACATTCATACATGAAGATTTTTTGAAATTTTCAGGTTAAAAAATATTTTCAAAATAAACAGCTTTTTTTTTTTAATGGAAAAATAACACAACAGTGACAATTTGTTGGCGATTTCTAGCCACAGCGTCTTCAAATTTTAACCAGATGAATTTTATTTTGGGATTTTCGAAAATAGCTTTTTTTGACTTTTCTGTTGCAAGAAAAATTCTTGGAAAATCGTAAAAATGTACTAAACGTGTCAATAGTTTTAAATTATCGTTCCAAAATTTCAAACAATTTGTAAAATCCGGCAATTCAAAATTTTGTATATGAATTTTCGTACATAAATTACTTTGGAAAAATATTCCAGAGCCTTCTGTTTCAAGTGTACAGCTCAAAATTTGCTGGGAAATTCAGTGTCTTTTGTTGTTATTTATTTGTTTTTATTTTTCGTGAAGACATGAAAAAACTAATTCAACATTTTGAATTTTAAAGTTAGCAAAAATTCACAAGAATAACATAAGCTTTTTTAAAAATGAAAAATATTATACATTTTCAGACTGGAAAAAATAAAAAAATCCTTGCACAATAAAAATGTCATGGTTTGAAATGGTATTCCTAAGGTCTTTGTTGGATTTTTTTACAAGGATTCTTGAAAAATATGAAAATCTTACAGTTCAAAATTACTGTTTTGAAAAAAAAAAAGTAAAATTCCATAACGAAAGTCAAAAATAAATTTCGATGTAGTAGAACTTTAAATAATTTAATTATGAATTTTTTTGGAATATTTTTAGAATCATTGGAATTTTTGAATCCGATAAAAAATTATAACCGACAGGTTTTGAAAAATAGCCATTTGAAAATATATTAAGCATAATTTTTTCAAAAAATTTTCCAATACCTACAATATTCCAACTAATTTAAACAATTTAAACAAAAAAAAAAAGTTGTCGGGCCGAAATAAATAAAAAAAATTGAATAAATTGCAACAAAAATTCCCGAAAAAATAAGAAAATGTGCCAAAATTATCTAAAAATTTTGCAGTTCAAATTTACTGTCTTGAAGACAAAACAAAAAACGTGAAATTGGATAACGAAAGGTAAAAATGAATTTCGGTTTAATAGAACTTTAAAATAATTTAATCATGCAAATTTTTTGAATATTTTTAAAGTGAAAGTAGTTGAAAAATAGTTTCAGAATAAAAAGGTCACGTTTTGAAATATCGGTTTTATATGATAAAAAAAATTATGAAATTATTAGAATTTTTGAGTCCGATAAAGAAATTATAAATTTTTTCAAAAAATATAGCCCTGGAATATTGTATGCTAACCTTCGTACAATATTCCAACTAATGTAAGCATTTTAAACAAAAAAAAGTTTTCAGGGCAAAATAAATTAAAAATATTTTAGAATGAAAACATCAAGATAGAAATGGTTGTCCTAAGCTCTTGGTTCGATGTTTTTACAAGAAGAATATGAAAATGTACCAGATTTATCGAAAAATCTTACACTTCAAAGTTACTGTTTCCAGAAATTAAAAAAAAACTGAAATTCGATAACGGAAGTCAAAAATAAATTTCGATTTAGTAGAACTTTAAATAATTTATTGATGCAAATTTTTTGAATATTTTTAGAGTGAAAGTAGTGGAAAAAATATTTTCACAATAAAAAGATTACGTTTTGAATTTTCTTTTTTTACAATAATTAATTTTTTTTTTTTTGAATCCGATAAAAAATTTATAACCAACTGGTTTTGAAAATTAGACATTTGAATTTTAATAAGAATTCCTGAAAAAATATGAAAATATGGCAGAATTATCGAAAGATCGTACAGTTCAAAATTATTCTTTTGAGAACCTAAAAAAAATGTAAGCAAAAGTTTTTCAAAAATTATTACCAAAAATTCTGACTTTCATATAATATTTCAATAAATTTAAGGACTTTAAACATGAAAAGTTTGTATATTTTTAGAGTCGAATTTATCAAATTTAAAAAATGTTAGAAAAAAAATGTTTTCCTAAGTTGTTTGTACGATATTTTTTTACAAAAATTTCTGAAAAAAATATGGAAATGTCCTAGAATTATCGCAAGATGTTACACTTGATAATTACTGTTTCGAAAACTAAAAAAAAACAAAACGTAAAATTCCACAACGATAAATCAAAATGAGCAACATTTTTCGAAAATTGTGTTAAAAAATTCCGATTTTTAACCAATATTTCAATGAATTTAAGCATTTTAAACATGAAAAATTTTATATTTTTAATGTCAAATTTATCAATTTAAAAAAAAAATAGAAAAAAATATTTTCCTAAGCTGTTTGTACGATATTTAAGTTCAAAAATTTCTAAAAAAAATATGATAATGTCCCAGAATTATCAAGATGTTACACTTGATAATTACTGTTTCGAAAACTAAAAAAAAAAAAAAACGTAAAATTCCACAACGATAATCAAAATGAGCAACGTTTTTCAAAAATTGTGTTAAAAAATTCCGACTTTCATACAATATTTCAATGAATTTAAGTATTTTAAACATGAAAAATTGATATATTTTTAGTCAGATTTAAAAAAATTCAGAACAAAAATGTTTTCCTAAGCTGTTTATGTGATATTTTTTTACCACAAGAATTCCTGAAAAAATATGAAAATCCCCCAGAGTTATCGAGAGATGTTACAGTTTAAAATTACTATTTTGAAAACCTAAAAAAAAAACGTGAAATTTGATAACGAAAGTCAAAAATAAATTTCGATTTCGTAAACTTTGAATCATTTAAACATGCAAGTTTTTTGAATATTTTCAGGGTTTTATTAGAATTTTTGAGAACTGTAAAAAATTGTAAGCAAAAGTTTTTCAAAAATTGTTACCGAAAATTTTGTTTCGTACAATATTTTAATGAATTTAAGCACTTTAAATATGAAAAAATTGTATATTTTTAGAGTCAAATTTATCAAATAAAAAAAATGAAAAAAAAACGTTTTCCTAAGTTCTTTGTACGATATTTTTTTACTAACATTTCTGAAAAAATATGAAAATGTCCCAGAATTATCGCAAGATGTTACACTTGATAATTACTGTTTTGAAAACTAAAAAAAAAAAAAACGTAAAATTCCACAAAGATAATCAAAATGAGTAACATTTTTCAAAAATTCGATATCAAAAGTCAAAAATAATTTTCGATATAGTAAAACTTTGAATCATTTAAACATGCAAGTTTTTTGAATATTATCAGGGTTTTATTAGAATCTTTGAGACCTGTGAAAAATTGTAAGCAAGTTTTTCAAAAATTATTACCAAAAATTCTGACTTTCATACAATATTTCGACAAATTTAAGCATTTTAAACATGAAAAATTTGTATATTTTTTAGAGTCAAATTAAAAAAAATAGAATAAAAATGTTTTAATTACACTTCAAACTTACTGTTTTAAAAACTAAAAGAAAAGTGTTAAATTCCACAACCATAATCAAAATGAGCGTCATTTTTTGAAAAATTGTATAAAAAAATTCCGACCTTCATGCAATATTTAGGTATTTTAAATATGAAAAGTGAATAAAAATGTCATGTTTCGAAGTTTTCAGTTTCTGAAAAAATGTGAAAATGTGCCAGGATTATCGAAAGGTCATACTAAAGTTCAAAATTACTGTTTTGAAGGCTCAAAAAATATAAAAATTCGACAAAGAAAGTTGCAAATAAAATCTAATTTAGTGTAAAACCAATTATTAAAATTTGAAGATTGATCGTATAAAAGTCAAAAACCAAAAATAAATTTGTACATTTTGAAATATATTACCTGACTCGAAAAGACCCTTATAAGACTAACGAATTTGTTCTGATTTTTCAGAAATTGGGAAAACTGGAAAGTGCAAAATTTTTACTAGGTAATGTGTACATGAAAAAAGTAATTCGGGTTTAAACTATTAGCAAAAATTCACAGAAATAACTTTGGATTGTAGAAAATTATTTCCAAAAACTCTAACGCTCATTCACTATTTTGAGGAATTTAGGTGTTTTAACTATGAAAAATTTTGTATATTTTCAAAGTGGATCTAAGCTCTTTGTTCGATTTTTTTCACAATAAGGATTCCTAAAAAATATGAAAACGTGCCAGATTATCGAAAGATGTTATAGTTTAAAATCGTAAAATTCGACAATAATAATCGAAAATAAATTTTGAAAACGAATAGTGACATTAAAATTGCAGTAATTCAGAGTAAAACAACTTTCCATGGGCTGCAAACAATCTAATTATTGGAATTTTATAGTCCTGTAAAAAAATTTGGAGACAATAGTCTCTGAAAACTAGAAATTTTAGAAAATATTTTAATTAGAATTTATTTAAACGCCACCCAAAAACACGAAACTTGTTTAAATAATTTTCAAGGACTGGAATCTTCCAAGATTTGAAAATTTTTGAATTTTCTGTTATAAAAACTCTTAAAAAAAATTAAATTGGCTCAATATCGTTTCAGGATCTAGCAGTTCAAAACCACTATTCTGAAAGTTAAAAGTGTAAACCTTTGAAATAAGACTAGATTTTTTTTATTGCATTTCAAACCGGATGAAATTAAAATTTTGCCCCGACACTGTAAAAACGCAATATTTTTGAAATTAGCACGCCGAAATCTATTTCCCAAAATTTTTCGATATTTTTTAAACAACTTTTTCAAAACCAAAATTTTTCAACAACCTTCGAAACTTAACTGAACACATTTTCTTATACATTCGACCTCCACAAATTCAAACTAAAGATGTATCCAAAGTTTGAAAAGTCAGTCTTGATCTGACTAACGTTAACTGGTAACATTACGTGAAATAAAGATTCAAAAAGATATTCAAAAACAAAAATTAAAAATAATAAAAATTATTCGCAAGATTGAAATTGTGCAAAATGTTGAAAAATTATACATTTGTACATTTTTTGTGTCGTATAGAGCTATTAATGCAACAATAGAATAAAATGTATTTTTTTTCACGACAAGGAAAATTTGCCGTACGCGAAGAAAGCTTAAATTTACTCACAAATTGCGGACAAAACATTTTTACATTCGTAATAAACGTCGAAAATGACCTACCTTCTTTGAAAACTGCACCTTTCAGTAAAACTAGAGACTTGTTTTTCAAATCAATCATGTTCTTTAAGTATTGGTCCTTGAATTGCTCCGGTAATATGTAGACTCAATGTGGCTTAGTTTTTCAGGGGTGCACAGAAATAAATGTTCATCACTGTTAAATTACCACAAAACACCAAGAAAACTAACACAAAACACTCAAACAAGAATTAATTGCAACATTTTTCAATCCGGTCTAATTTATGACAGATATGTTGATCGGTCGTCATAGCAACCGCAGCCTTCTATGTTTTATGTTTAAATATTATAAACTTAATTTAAAAATGAAGATTTTTTATCACAAAACAACGAAATTCTGTTGTTACCATTAAAGTGTTTTTTTTTTCCAGAGGCTGACGCCAAAATCCGAGATTACAGTGGCCGCTTACCCTCGTACTACTTCGAAGACAAGGACCAAAAAGCCAGAAAAGATAACATTCGCAGTGAGTATCCCTACACGACAACCAAGCATGGCAAGCTTCCTTCAAAACCAAGCTTTCGGTTAAAAAGTAAACCACCAGTAGACAGACCACTATACCCTCCTGTACAGTACTCAACTAAGGTCCTTTTCGGGAGCTATCAACCCAACAAGTAGACTCAAGGCTTCACTGCAGGGCAAGAGTGACCTCACTTTGACATTCCATCACTTACTACATACAACTTTCCGCTTTTATCATTATTTTGTGCATGACTCACATCTGAAGTAGTTTTTATTTTTATTCTTATACACTGGACTATTAGGCAGCTTTTGCAGTATTTTTTTTATTATTATTATTACTATTAGTATTATTTTGCATGTGTAGACGTCAATAAATTTATCTGGCGAAATTAACCTCGTTTTTATTTTTTCCTGACATTTCAGAAATAAAGGCGCGCAAAAAACCCTCAGGTAAATACGTCATAGTTGGCGCTGTGGCACGTTATATTAACCTTGACGTTTCAGAAAAAGACCTAGGTTTTTTAAGAATAGGGTCCCTGAATGTACGAGTCAAGAAGACAACCGAGGCTTTTAGTAACTTCTTAGGGGTGGGGAGCGGCTCAGTCACCTCCCTGGAGTCAACCAATGAGAAAGTGCACAAGGGCTGGGGCTCCGCAGATAACGTCAATCAGGTACTACTATACTGTTTTTTTTATGGATTTTTGATTTGATTTGGTTTGTTTCGCCACAGGAAAATATCTCTCCAGGCCCTAAAGGCAGCTACGTTAAGAAAAAATCAAAGAGGCCCTACTCGTCGGGACTTAATAGTACTCCCGGTACTCCCAAACAGGTGGCAAGGAACGTAAACGTGCCTTGTCAAGTCAACGACTCGGACTCTGATACGGCTGCTGGATTTGATTCGCAGTGGAAGAATTGATCCGATTGATTTACTACACACGTCACAATTTGTTTACAGAACGGTGATTGGAGTCACGCTTCAGATTTTAAGTACTATTTTTGTAGCACTTTTACAATATACTCATTTTTTATAAAACGTGTTCTTATTGTGATCATAAATTTTTTGTTGTACTTTTTATGGATTGATTGTTTAAAGTGTGATTATATTCGTTTAAAAAAAGTAAAAGAATATATATCAATAAAATGGATCATTTGACGTAAAGCGTTCGGACGGGTCCATTTGTGAATTTGAGGGAAGGACACAGTAGTACTGTATTTTTCATACTTTATTCAAATAGAGTTTGTAATTTAGCTTTCCTAAAAAATACATATGAAAGTACCATATGATCGAAAAAAAAACGTCATCCAGTCAGCCATGGAATTAATTAAAAAAGATGGCGGCCTACTCTTGTTTTCCATTGAAGTTAAGTGTCAGTTTGATCCATTGCGCTTTACAGAATTAAAATATATTAATAAATAATTGAGTAAACAGGGGCAGAATATTTAAAATTTGTGGTCAAACAAACTTTAGCCATTTTTCTGGCCCACTCAAATCTATAACAGGTAACCGATAGATAAGAGGCAAATAAACACAGAGTAGTACTTGCTAACATAAGTTTTATTTTAGCAAATGACATATCCTCTGAGAAAATAGGGGGCGGGTGGGCGGAGCTACCATTTGACATAGCCTCTAAGAAAGAAAAGGGCGGGTGGGTGGGGTTAGCTCTTACTCAAATAAAATTGATTTTGGCAGACGCTGTACCCTCTGAGGAACTAGAGGGTGGGTGGGCGGGGCTAGTACTTGCAAAGATAAGACTGATTTTGGCAGACGCCATACCCTTTGAGAAAATAGAGGGCGGATGCGCGGGGCTAAGTTAAAACGTACTTTGTCAAATGACAAATATGAAATATATTTTGCCCTTTTTCTTAATATAGGTAGTCGTGTATTCTTGTTTAATCTTTGTTTTTTTTAATATAGTTTTATTTCAATAACAGGATGAAAGTTGACATGTTTTCAGTTTCTTGTTGGGAAAAAAAACTTCGTATATTTAGAAAAAATGGGCAAAATATAAGCCCCACCCACCCACCCCTTCTCAATTGTGATGAATTTCCTATTCATCGTGGGCTCATTTCTGGAACTTACGATATGAAATATGTTGTTAAAAAGGTAGAATTTTCTAGAAAAATTTTGATTTTACAATTAAACTTCGCCCCTCGGTCTCATTAGGAATGAAAAAATAATCAGAATAGAGATAGGGTGGGTGGGCGGGCCTTATATTTTATCCTTTTTCTTAATATTATAGGTAGTCGACTTTTTTTGTTTAATCTTTGTTTCTTTTATATAGAGATTTACTTCAATAACAGGATGATAGTTGACATGTTTTCAGTTTCTTGTTGGGAAAAAAAACTTCGAATATTTAGAAAAAATGGGCAAAATATAAGCCCCACCCACCCACCCTTTCTCGATTGTGATGAATTTCCTATTCATTGTGGGGTCATTTCTGGAAATTACGATATGAAATATGCTGTTAAAAAGGTAGAATTTTCTAGAAAAATTTTGATTTTACAATTAAACTTCGCCCCTGGGTCTCATTAGGAATGAAAAAATCATCAGAATAGAGATAGGGTGGGTGGGCGGGCCTTATATTTTATCCTTTTTCTTAATATAAGTAGTCGTCTTTTTTTGTTTAATCTTTGTTTTTTTTATATAGAGTTTTACTTCAATAACATGATGATAGTTGACATGTTTTCAGTTTCTTGTTGGAAAAAAAAACTTCGTATATTTAGAAAAAATGGGCAAAATATAAGCCCCACCCACCCACCCCTTCTCAATTGTGATGAATTTCTTATTCATCATGGGCTCATTTCTAGAAATTACGATATGAAATATGTTTTTAGAAGAGTAGAATTTTCTAGAAAAATTTTGATTTTACAATTAAACTTTGCCCCTCGGTTTAATTAGGAATGAAAAAATCATCACAATCGAGATAGGGTATTTATTTATTTTTTTTTTTTTATTATATTTTACCCTTTTTCTTAATATAAGTAGTCGTCTTTTCTTGTTTATTCTTCGTTTTTTTTTTTAATATAGAGTTTTATTTCAATAACAAGATGATAGTTAACATGTTCTCAGTTTGAGGAAATAGGAGGCGGGTGGGCGGGGCTAGCATTTGCTAAGATATTTATTTTACAGTAATAAATTATGATAAAACCAAAAAATTCAAAAAATTGAAAAATCGAAAATCTTAAAATCCAGAATTTCATAAATTGAAAAATTGAAGAACGCAAGGTGAAAAATCGAAACACTGAAAATCGAAAATGTGAAAAATCGATAAATTAAAGGAATTAAAATGCAAAAAAAGAAGAAATGAAGAACTGAACACTTCAAAAGAAGAAAAATCGAAAAATAATTTACGGAACGAAAAATCGAAAAAATCAGAAGTTCACAAATTGAAGAAAGGAATGAACTGAAAATGTTGAAAGATAGCAAAAAATTGAAGAAATGAAAAACTGGCAATTTCAAACATAAAAAATGAACTAATTATTATTTGAAGAAACGAACGAGTGAAAAATGAAAGATCGAAACATTGGAAAACAAGAATCTCAAAAATCGATCAATTAAAGAAATGAGAAACCGAAAAAATAGAAATGAAGAACTGTACACTTCAAAAGAAGAAAAATCGAAAAATTAATTTAGGGAACGAACAAGTGAAAAATTCAAAAGATGAAAAATTGAAGAAAGGAGTGAACTGAAAATGTCAAAATATAACGAAAAATTGGAAAACTTAAAAGAAAAGAAAAATCGTAAAAATAATTGAAGAAAAGAAAAAGGGACAATTTCAAACATGAAAAATGGACGAATTATTTGAAGAAACGAACCAGTGAAAAATTCAAAAAATTGAAAAATCGAAACACTGAAAATCGAGAATGTGAAAAATCGATAAATTAAAGAAATTAAAATGCAAAAAAAGAAGAAATGAAAAAATCAGAAGTTCACAAATTGAAGAAAGGGATGAACTGAAAATGTTAAAAGATAGCAAAAAATTGAAGAAACGAAAAACTGGAAAACTTAAAAGACGAAAAATCGCAAAATAAACCGAAGAAAAGAAAAACTGGCAATTTCAAACATAAAAAATGAACTAATTATTATTTGAAGAAACGAACGAGTGAAAAATGAAAGATCGAAACATTGGAAAACAAGAATCTCAAAAATCGATCAATTAAAGAAATGAGAAACCGAAAAAATAGAAATGAAGAACTGTACACTTCAAAAGAAGAAAAATCGAAAAATTAATTTAGGGAACGAACAAGTGAAAAATTCAAAAGATGAAAAATTGAAGAAAGGAATGAACCGAAAATGTCAAAAGATAACGAAAAATTGGAAAACTTAAAAGAAAAGAAGAATCGTAAACATAAATGAAAAAAAGAAAAAGGGACAATTTCAAACATGAAAAATGGACGAATTATTTGAAGAAACGAACAAGTGAAAAATTCAAAAAATTGGAAAATCGAAAATCTTAAAATCAAGAATTTAAACAATTGAAAAATTGAAAAACACAAGGTGAAAAATCGAAACAGTGAAAATCGAGAATGTGAAAAATCGATAAATTAAAGAAATTATTATGCAAAAAAAGAAGAAATGAAGAAGTGAATCGAAACAGTGAAAATCGAGAATGTGAAAAATCGATAAATTAAAGAAATTAAAATGCAAAAAAAGAAGAAATGAAGAAGTGAACATTTCAAAAGAAGAAAAATCGAAAAATCATTTACGGAACGAAAAATTGAAAAAATCATAAGTTCACAAATTGAAGAAAGGAATGAACTGAAAATATTAAAAGATAGCAAAAAATTGAAGAAACGAAAAACTGGAAAACTTAAAAGACGAAAAATCGCAAAATTAACCGAAGAAAAGAAAAACTGGCAATTTCAAACAAAAAATGGACTAACTATTTATTTGAAGAAACGAACAAGTGAAAAATGAAAGATCGAAAAATTGGAAAACAAGAATCTCAAAAATCGATCAATTAAAGAAATGAAAAAGCGAAAAAATAGAAATGAATAACTGTACACTTCAAAAGAAGAAAAATCGAAAAATTAATTTAGGGAACGAACAAGTGAAAAATTCAAAAGATGAAAAATTGAAGAAAGGAATGAACCGAAAATGTCAAAAGATAACGAAAAATTGGAAAACTTAAAAGAAAAGAAAACTCGTAAAAATAATTGAAGAAAAGAAAAAGGGACAATTTCAAACCTGAAAAATGGACGAATTATTTGAAGAAACGAACAAGTGAAAAATTCAAAAAATTGAAAAATCGAAGAACGAAAGGTGAAAAATCGAAACACTGAAAATCGAGAATGTGGAAAATCGATAAATTAAAGAAATTAAAAAGCAAAAAAAGAAGAAATGGAAAACTGAATATTTCAAAAGATGAAAAATTGAACAAAGTAGTACTTGCTAAGATAAATCTTATTTTGGCAGATGACATATCCTCTGAAGAAATAGGGGCGGGTGGGCGGGGCTAGATAGTACTTTTTGAGATAACACTGATTTTGCACCTCACTTGTAAAAATTTGTTAAATGTAAAAGGTTGCAAATTTCCTTAGTAACGAGTTAAATTTCTAAATCTGATGTATAAAATGACATATTTTATCTTAACCGGGTGATTATTAATTATTCAAGCAAATTTTTGGGTTGGCGGTTCTGAATTATGGCGGCAATGTTAACATGTCAGTTCATAGCTGTCAATTTTGACATGAGCGCGCCTAAAGCCAATGAAAATGTAGCAGCTGCTGAATTGGTACCCGAAATTTAAATTTGAAATCAATTATGCCAAAAAAGTTGAGTTGTGTCAATTAATGACACTTCATCTGTCAATCATAGGCATAGGGATATTTGTGGCCTCATTTATATTAACACGAACAAACGGGTGGTGATTTTTAGAATAGGAATACTCTATTATATATAAATCCATCAATAGTGAAGGCACCAAGAATACAGGGTCGTATATGTGGTTGCCTAGCCTGAGAAAAATTTTGTCGCATATTTTACTACATAGATGTCGCTCATTGTTTAGACGACCGAAAGAAATTATGCAA